CAAGATGAATTTCTTGTGAACTTGATTATAATGGAGACTTAACCATTTCCAGCATCTTATACTAAGAGAAGAAATATTCTTAAGACTGGTATGAAGTAGAACATCGAATGAGGGTAATCCCTTGAAAAGGGCAAAGAAGAAGAAGAGAACTTACTTCCAAATGTTTCGAGAAAGTGTAAGAAGGTTTAGAAATAATAAGCAAAGCAATCTCCAGATCCCACGAATGAAAGAAGTTAATCCAGAAAGGAATTGTCAGCCAATCGAACTCCTTCCTCAGTGTACGAAAAGAAAATCCAATCTCGAAACTCTCTCTGAATAGCTCATAAAGAAAACCTCAAGCCAAAAGAAATCTTCAAATCGTCTAATAAAAGCTCTCAAACTATGTTCCCCTGAAATCTCTAGAAAAAAAATCAGCCCTTAAATGCTTCCCTCAAAGGGGTATTTATAGCCGACGAGAGCAAAGGGGTTCACCAACGGTGAGAATAAGGGAGGTAACGAGAAGCACCTCAAAGGGCAAAGAATTCATCAAGATTCAAAATAGGGGGTTACCAGATCCATTTGAGCGGGAAAAACCGTATAAGCCGGCTACCGACGAGGCTATCAGCGTCAAGAGCTTGGAAAGGGAGGAGATGACCGGAAGACCGGCAAGGGATCTCCAAGATTCGGTAAAGAGAGGAGGGAAATGGGTTTTGGCTAGGGCAAAGGAAAATAGAGGCACGAGCAGGGAAGTGGAATAGTGCCCGGGGGAGATTATGTTTAGGGATTTTTTAAAACCCTTTTATTAAAAAAATTATTATTATTATTTTTTTAGAAAATATTAAATTTCGTGCAATTCATTCTTGCGCGGCGCCCCAACAAAATGAGTGTCCTCCCTAGCTAAAATCGACGTTCCGGACGCGAAAACATAGTCCATTTTGTCATCCGGAATCATCCAGACAAATTCGTCGTCGACCGCGTCAAATTAACTTCGCAAATTTCTATAGAAGCTCAATTTGAGCTTCAATATGTTGGTTTTTCGATTGACTCAATCAAATGTTGAGGATCTGAAACCGTCCATATGATACTGCAAGGATTGAAGAAATGACTTTGAATTTTTAAGGGGTGTGGGTCCCAGTCTAGTCCTCTAAGAAAACCAAAATAGGGAAATCTTAAGGCTAGATCCTAGGGTATTTGGAGAAGGGAAAAGAAGACCTCAAAATTAAGGTCAACAGAGTGCTAAGTATCTCATAACTTTTTTGAGAAAAAATTAATCACAACACCTATTATAACAACACCTTATTGAGAATATTAATTTGAATTTATTTGTGATGTTAGTGATTATGTTTTAGGATTTATTATAAGGTAAAGAATTAACAAAGTCTTTCAAGTAATATATTATGTTAGTAAGACTCTAAATGACATATAATTTAATTATACTACTTCTGAAATAAAATTATTAGCTATATTTTTGTATCTGACAAATTTAGATCCTAATTAAATGGTAATAAAGTTAAAATTTATACAGGTTATTCTACTATCAAATATCTTGTAACAGAAGATGATGTTAAATATCATTTGATTATATGAACACTTCTATTATAAAAATTTGATGTAGACATTTGAAATAAAAAAGGCACTAAAAATGAAGTAGTTTATCGTTTGCTTAGCTTTGAGCAAGAAAACACTAAGAATTGGCATGATAATATTAATGAGAGTTTTACTAAGTAACAATTGCTTGCTATAGGTAAACAAACTATTCCTTGGTATTCTAGCATAATAAACTATATTTTAATTGATATTATTCCTTATGATGTATCATATAACCAAAGAAAGATTTTTTTATGCTAGATTATATTTTTTTTGCGGTAAATTTTATATCTTTAAGAAGTGTAAGGACCATATTACTATGTGATATGTCCTTTTAAGAGAGGTAGAAAGTATTATTAGACAATATTATGGCTAGGAATTTTAGAGAGGGCATTTTTTGGAGATTTTAAATTTGCTTCTAAGAAGTTACAACCAGAATTTTATTAGTTTACAACTTTTAAGGATATTAATGAATATGTAAAAAAAATTATAAATGTTATAGAATAGCTCATATTATTAAGAGAAATGAAATCCCCTTAATTTGTATTTTAGAAGTTGAGATTTTTGGTGTTTGAAAGATAGATTTTATGGAACTATTTATATCATCTTTAGGAAATTACTAAATTTTAATGTCACTTGATTTTTTCTTTAGGAAGTTACTAAATTTTAATTTCACTTGATTTTTGTCTCAAAATGGAAAGAGATAGTGGCTATATGGAAGTGTGATTCATAGAGATTTCAAATATTTTTTTTAAAAATTATATTTAGTAGATTTGAAACACCTCGAGTATTTAGAAGTGATGGAGAAAACTATTTTTTAAATAAAAATATTGAGACATTAATTGTTTAGTATGTATTACTACTGCATGTCATCCTTAGCCTAGTTGTTTAGCTGAAGTTTCCAATAAGGAAATTAATAAAATTTTAGAAAAAGTAGTTAACTGTAATAGGAAGGATTGGTCCAATTACTTCGATGATGCCTTATAAGACTATAGGACTACTTATAACATTCTCATAGATATGTCTCTCTATAAGTTAATAATTGAAAAAAAAACTTGTCATTTACCCATAGAACACGAACATAAGGTTTATTACGTAGCTAAGGAATTCAGTTATAATATTAAGAATTTGGTAAAAAAAATTATTACGACATTTGAATAAACTGTAAGAAATTAGAAAGAAATCCTGTGAAAATGTCCAGATATATAAAGAAGTCATGAAAAGTTGGCATGATAAAAAATCTATTAGGAAATAATTTTAGCCTAGATAAAAGGATTTACTATTTATTTTATGATTGAAACCATTCCTGAGGGTGCTTAAGTTAAGATGGTCAAGCACATTCACTATAGTGAAATTCTATATTTTTGGAGTTGTTAATATTAATGATAGAAGGACTACTAATATTTTTGAAGTAATTGGACAAGTATTGAACCCTTATGTAAGAGAGGATAAAGAGTGTCCAAGGAAAATTATTGAATTAGGTCTTGCAAAATAAAAATATGGTATTTTCACATAAAGGATTATAAACTAAGCATTTCTTAGGAGACAGCCAGAGTGTTATTTTGTGATATGTGCTTACTTGATTGATTTTATGTGTTTGTGTGTGTACATGTGTGTGATATGGACTTCGAATTCAATGCATAAGTTTGCTTGTATATCCTAATGTAGCATCGTTATGCTTCTTCAAAGTTCTACATTGTTGTCTCACAGTGACCCGACATTGATAGAGGTATTGCTGCAGTGTTACTTCAAAACCAAAGAAAGTTGGAACAATTGTCACCTCTGGTCAAATCAGCCATTAGAAATTTCAACCAAAGGACCACTACCATCTGCTAGAGTCATCTTAGATGAATCTCGTTGGTCGAAAGATGAATCGGTCCTTTACGCTTCATTACCGCCTTACATCGTTTCTCACCTTCTTTGTGCTTCCGCTTATTAAACATGCTACCGAGCAGATCAATGTTTGGGATGTTCATGTCGATTGATTATGATCTTTCATAATAAGATGCATGAATTGGGAGCATCTATATCTATGATATAAGGAGAGTATGTTGAAACAAATGAGTTCATAAGATGTCTCATCACATTATTTGTAAGGTTCAAAAACTTAAAATTCAAGAGAGTGCTTAAATTATGAGTATTAATTAAAGATCTAGATTAATTGATGTATTAATTCCCAAGTTCTATTCATAACACATCTTCCTTAGGAATGAGGCAATCATGAACTAAATATGTACAACAACTTGTGGCTTCTTGAACCACTAAGATTCGAATAGATCTTGAACCATCTTCCATCAAAAGCAAGTTAAATAAACAAATCAAGGGGCAGACGACAATAACACCAACTCAGAGCATCAGAAGATTGAGCAGGAGTTAGCCAAATATTCATGTGTAGAGTAGGCTAGGTCGTGTATGAGAGTACAAGTATGAGAATCATCATAAGAAGAAAGCCTTTCCCATTCATTAAAATAGTTTGCTTGAAGAGGATCTCTCTAAGACCCTAACGTTAGTGGGGATATGACCAATGAGACAACAATATAAGCCTAGTGGTATATGAATGATATATACCAAAATACATCATTTATAAAGCCAATCTCTATAAATTAAATAGGCGTATTAAATGTAAATAGGAATCTAATGACTGATTTTTTTCATTTGTTGGAGCCAAGGGAAACACCCTCTGATCCTCATCATCTTGCTTGCTTTTGTATTAACCCAAGTACTCAGCTCTCTCTCCCTCTCATCTTATTCTCTCTTTCTGATTACTCTATACCTTTGATGTGATTTAAAGATAAATTTGAGTTTAACACCTAGTAAAAATAAAAAAAAAGTAAATTTAATGTTATGTGAAATTTAATAAAAAAATTAAAAAAAAAACAAATTTTGTTAAGTTCAAAATTATTTCCAAATTATTTTAATATACATATATATATAGATAGATACACACACACACACACACACACTTACACACAAAGTTAGATAGGATGGATTTTAAGGCTCTTAAAACATATAAAACTAATATATGTTTAAAAAATTTTAAAAAAATTATATTATGCTTGTTTTAGAAATAAGCTAAAAATGTTTAACTTCATAAGTACTAAAATATGGTGTGAATATTCTTATTATATCGTAATTATTTTGAAAAGTATTTAAATTATATACACACATACATACATACATACATACATACACATTAATCTAATAGTAAATTTAATATGTTTGGATTTCTTATATAACTTACACAAATATTGGGATCATTATCATTTAATGTTCAACGAAAATCTAATCGCCTTAAATAGCCAACTTTGACTACGTAAAGCAGAGAAGGTCTACTGTTAGACAATCCAATTTTGACAAGGCAAAGTCCACCAAACAATTCTATTACCCGTCCTTCATGCGCATGCATGTCTATAAATTAGCATGATCTCCCCAATGCCAAGCTTATGAATTGGCCTCCAATTGACCAAATCCCTCCTCATCCATCTTCCCCTTCCTCGCCATAAATTTCTCCTCTTTTATATCCTCCACAAAAAAGCACTGTTCTTTATTCCGAATGGCGAGGGCGGCAAAATCAAAGGCAGCGAGCACCATGAGCCATTTTTCGAAGGCGGCCACATTCTCCGTCTCCCAACCTTCCCACAGTCCCGGCAGGCGGTCCGATAAGGGCTTCTCCGGCCCCATCGTGTCAATAATCCCCAAAGATGCGCGGCACAAGAAGAGAAACAGTAGTGGGCGTGGAGGTGAACCCTCGTCTCCGAAGATCTCGTGCATGGGCCAAATCAAAAAGAAGAAGAAGAAGTCCTCTGCTTCGGAGTGGAAGAAGGAAAGGGAAATCGAGAAGCCGAGGAGGAGAATATTTTGTTTCTGTTTTAAGGGTCTTTTTCGGAGAAAGGTGAGACCTGGTGGGGAGCCATATGGGAAAGAGGTGGAGGAGAAGATGGAGAAGCAGAGGTTGCCGGAGGTGAGATCGTCGGCGGCTCCACGGTTGGGTCAGATGAGACGGTATCAGAGTGGGCGTGAGACGCTTGCTGATTTTGATTGGAGAAAGACGATGGGGGAGAAGGAAGAGGAAGAGGAAGAGGAAGACGTATTTATTCCTCACTCTGCTCCGATTCTGGTGGGCGGCGGTGCAGTGGCGTTGGAGCCGAAAAAGGAGGTGAATTTATGGAGGAGGAGGGACATGAATCCTCCACTTCCCCTTCAAATTGAAAAGAATTGATCTTTTTTTCTTTTTATTTTTGGTGGGGAATTGCGGAAGGGATAACGCAGTTGATTGCATGGTTATTCTTCATTTTCTCCATTTTAGTGTTTGCCTTTGAATTTGATAGAAAGATGGTTAACAGATGTATTAATGATTTTGTGATTGATATATGTTTTGATGGTTCTTAAAACTGTAATTTTTGTGGTTCAGTGATTTTTTTTTTTTTTTTTTGTTCACTGGAATGGTTTAAGAAAGGTTGATATGAGGATGTTGAGGAATTAGGGCAAAGAAAATGCAAGAATTGTCAAAATCACGAAGAAAACATGGAGAATTAACGAATTTCGGCAATTTGTTTATGTCCTCGAGAGCAGAGCGGCGGCTTCTTTACATTTCACAAAAAAACATTACAAAATCCTCTTAGGGATACCAATACGACACATATATAACTTCTGTGTACAATATGTAAGTACAAAATTACCCCTGTACAGTACCGTTGAGGCGTTGCCCCCGCACCCTCATCCCACTTAACGAAACTCTCTTGATTGGACAAATGCTAGGGCAGAACAGAGCGAGCCAGCAGAGCTAAGCGGCCAAGCTCCGTTCAGCTCCTCTCCTCTCCAACATCTATCGCTTATTTGGTACATGAGTCATACCTGACAAAGGATTATAACAGTTTTTGCCTTGTTAAGTTCAATTAGAATTTGTCTTTCCATTTGATTTAAACTGATGATAAAAACAGTACAGAATGTTAACTCTGACCAAAAATACTCTTTGCATCTTTATGCTGACACATTTTCCTGCTATTATTTTTGTAAAATATGTTGCATGATACTCTAAAACTTAAAATTCTCTTTTTATTAATATTTCTATATGGATCTTTGTTAGAAAAACTAACCTGTAGCGTGTAGCACCCACTCGATGTTTACTTAGTCCGAGACGCATAGTAAGAGATGTCCAAATGGGAAGCATTGCTCATCCGGACAAATAAAACAAACATTTAGCTCTCATTTTGTCAAAGGACTCATCTAATTGTATCTTTTATATTTCTTGTTTTTTGTTGTTGACTGATTCTTTGTACGCTTTGCTGTTTGAATCAATGTGATTCTTTGTACGCTTTGCTGTTTGCTTGTTCTTCAATCTTCTTTCTTAAAAAATGTTACAAGAGAAATCAAGGCATTAGATGAAGCTGTATTAAGAGTAGATCAGTTATGAGGTAATATGACCAAAATACATGCAATTGAATAATTGGTCTGCATAGTTCCTTATTTCTAGCTCCAGATGAAATGTTCATGTCTTTCTCTCTATAAATAAATATAAATAAAATTAATGAAAAATGTGACCACAATATTTTAGCATAGGAAGAAACTCGTTCTTGCCAAAGCTGAGTTGTACAGGCCTGGAACCTTTGATGAACCCTCATGAACTGTAGAAAAAAACATGATTCTATGATAGATTAGTATGATTCAGAAAAATCAGTTATTTTGGTACGCACAAATTGAACATTGTCGAACTCATGCTTGTCCGTAAATTACACTCAAAGAATATAAGTACTCCTACACTTGCAGCTTGGAATAGTTTGTGATTTTTAAGGATCAGTTGCGGCTTGGCCACCGACTCCCATTGTGTGAGAATTTGCATGATATTTTCAACTTCCATGAGGAATAGCTGGCTGATTCAGATAATGACAACCAATGTCTCTCCACCGAAGACCAAACTAAGGTTTTCACCTAGTAATATCTTGAAGCATCGATGATCAATAAGTTGTTGGTTCATAACAGCTACGACAAGATGACTCATGCTGATTGAAAGGCTTTTGACACTTTGCAGCCTAAGCGAGATGTAGCTCTGGTTGCTGAGAAGATGAAGAAGAATCCAACCGAGAATCTTTCAATTTCTCCCTCTACTATCATCATTCAGTGAACAGGGACTGATGAATTGATCCTTAATGAGAGGCCAATAAATCAATAAAATAATGTATACTCCTCATTTAGAATCTCCCATTGTTAGAGGAAGGCTCTTGTAGAAGAGGAGCTTGCATGGAAGAGCAAGCCTTCCACCTTCCCCTAAAATATCCCATCTGAAGTGGATCCCTATACAGAAGTAAAGGTGGAATTGGAGAAAATATTATATTAGGACTCTCAATGTAATTTGCGTTCAGAGTCCAATCGCGAGGCGTCACGTGTCAAGTCGACCCCATCTTAATATACTAGCATTGGTCAGTATAAAAAATAGTGGAACTCACTTGACACGTGACACCCCACCATTGGACTCCGAATGAATTCGAAGTCCTGATATAATATTTTCTCGTGAAATTGAGGGTGCATCAAGGAGGCCGGTATGCCATTGTCTACTTTAGAAATGATTGGAACTCTTTCGAGCCTACTGCTACCCAATATACTGACTCCGCTCATACCTTTGGTAATGCTTCAGTTAATTCGTTGACTCAAAGGGTCGTCCCTTGTGCCAAACATATTAAGAGAATCTTGTCATTTTCTTCACAGAGGTAACTATTTAGACTCACCTCTGGAGTAAGCCTTGCACTACTCATTGTCGAATTTTTCATCACAAATGGGAGATTCTAGCCACCATGATTTGACATGTGTTACGAGGGCAGGAGAAGAGGGGCATTATGGTGCTTGGGCGTTGCAAGGTGAATAGATATCATTGATATCTTAGGGATGGATGAATAATTAATTATAGTTGAGAGACGGATGAATGATTTCTTGAGTTTGAGGGGGTAAAAAGTACCATCAATTTTTCCTGCATGCGCACTCTTAAGAGAGTATTCGCTTCTCCCTCTTCGTGTATCATGCATGGGATCGAGTGTTAGCTTGAGTTGACTGGGCCTATATACTTAGCCTTCATGATGGAGTGCTCTTTGTTAACCTTGGCTAGTGGCCTAGACATGTATGTTTGTCTAGCTTGAATGGGGTTTGTCAGGTCAATGTTGATTGTTTAATTTAAATTAGTCAGATAATGTGTGGGAAGAGGTTAGCCTTATCACCTTCCGCACCCTCAACTTCTTTTTTCGAGCAAGTTAACTGTGTGGTTCTTAGTGGCTTCGACCTATCTGTTCATTCATGGGTGGTGGACAGTGGCAAAATTTAGGAAAAATTCCTGATTTTAGTAAAAATCTTTAACCTATTAATAAGAGAACTGTGTTTCATTGTTACGACGCAGAGGAGGCGTCAGTCCAGCGAGGAAGACCCGCAAACAGGGAGTTCGCGCGAAATCGCAGCGGCAAAGGCACGCGCGGAAGAAGATCCCCGGCAGAGGAGATCGAGCAAGGCGTTCGGGGGCAGAGGAAGGAAGAAATCGCGGAGCAGGCGGAGCAGTTCGAATTTCTTCGCCAACAGGAAGCTTCGCGACAGGAAGCTTCGGACCAGGGATTCGCGAATCGCGTTTTGGACAGGGAAAATCGTTCGCGAAGGGGGCTCTGGAGTGCAGTTCGCGATCGGCAGAGATCTCGTTCGTTCACGGGAAGAAGATCAGGCCAGATCGCGAGTTCGCGTGCAGTTCGCGAAGCCTTGTTCGGCAGTTCTGCAGAAGAGTCGGCGAAGACCAATAAATCAATAAAATAATGTATACTCCTCATTTAGAATCTCCCATTGTTAGAGGAAGGCTCTTGTAGAAGAGGAGCTTGCATGGAAGAGCAAGCCTTCGACCTTCCCTAAAATATCCCATCTGAAGTGGATCCCTATACAGAAGTAAAGGTGGAATTGGAGAAAATATTATATTAGGACTCTCAATGTAATTTGCGTTCAGAGTCCAATCGCGAGGCGTCACGTGTCAAGTCGACCCCATCTTAATATACTAGCATTGGTCAGTATAAAAAATAGTGGAACTCACTTGACACGTGACACCCCACCATTGGACTCCGAATGAATTCGAAGTCCTGATATAATATTTTCTCGTGAAATTGAGGGTGCATCAAGGAGGCTGGTATGCCATTGTCTACTTTAGAAATGATTGGAACTCTGTCGAGCCTACTGCTACCCAATATACTTACTCCGCTCATGCCTTTGGTAATGCTTCAATTAATTCGTTGACTCAAAGGGTCGTCCCTTTTACCAAACATATTAAGAGAATCTTGTCATTTTCTTCACAGAGGTAACTATTTAGACTCACCTCTGGAGTAAGCCTTGCACTACTCATTGTCGAATTTTTCATCACAAATGGGAGATTCTAGCCACCATGATTTGACATGTGTTACGAGGGCAGGAGAAGAGGGGCATTATGGTGCTTGGGCGTTGCAAGGTGAATAGATATCATTGATATCTTAGGGATGGATGAATAATTAATTATAGTTGAGAGACGGATGAATGATTTCTTGAGTTTGAGGGGGTAAAAAGTACCATCAATTTTTCCTGCATGCGCACTCTTAAGAGAGTATTCGCTTCTCCCTCTTCGTGTATCATGCATGGGATCGAGTGTTAGCTTGAGTTGACTGGGCCTATATACTTAGCCTTCATGATGGAGTGCTCTTTGTTAACCTTGGCTAGTGGCCTAGACATGTATGTTTGTCTAGCTTGAATGGGGTTTGTCAGGTCAATGTTGATTGTTTAATTTAAATTAGTCAGATAATGTGTGGGAAGAGGTTAGTCTTATCACCTTTCGCACCCTCAACTTCTTTTTTCGAGCAAGTTTACTGTGTGGTTCTTAGTGGATGTTGATGTCATATTAAATGGGAGAGCACCTCAGCCGAAGTAAAAACCGAATAAAAAATCAGTCATTAAAAATGCAAGGTAAAAATAAAGGACCTCTAATTCCAAATTAAAAAAAGTATTTAGAGTAAAATAAGAGAGTCAAAAGTATATATTCTTGTATTCAAAATCAAATTTATTATATATATCATTAACTTTCTCTAACTTAAACCATGTTTTATAATATAAGAAAAGAGAAAGAACCTTTATCAGACTAAGAACTTGTTGCTTCCTCGTGAGACAAATTTTTGTGTAATGTCGGATTGTTTCATGCAAGTATATAACAAATTAAACAACATTAAAAATTTTTCATTGCTATACTTTTTAAAACATTTACTTATTATTACTACAATAAAACAGGAATTGTATACAGTTGTCAACACAGGTTTCAAAGAAAATATTGCGGAATAAGTTTCATGGGTCATG